ACTTTTGCATGTTGATTTTGTATCCTGCAATTTTGCTGAATTAATTTATTAGCTCTATCATACTGTGTGTGTGTGTGTGTGTGTGTGTGTGTATATATAGTCTCAAGGTTTTCTAAAAATAAGATAACATCTGTGAACAAAGATCATTTTACTTATTCTTTTCCAATTTGGATAGCTTCTGTTTCTTTTTCTTGCTGTATCGTTTTGTCTAGAATTTCCAGTCCTATGCTTGAATACAAGGGTGAAAGCAGGCATCCTTGTTTTGTGTGTTTCTGAGTGTAGGGGCAAAAACTTATCTTTTAAATCTCACCTTGTATTATATAATTAGCCTCCTTTCACTTAAAATATCATTTATTTGTTCTTTATTCTTTTCAACCAGTCTTTCCAGAATTATGTCATTCTTGTTAATTAAAAAAAAACTTGCCATGAATGTACTTTTTATGTTGTTATTTTTCACTGATTTATGCTCTTGTTTTATTATCTGCTATTCTTTCTTTGACCTTATTTAGTTATTATTCTAGCTTCTTAAGAATAATATTTAATTTATCAAACTTCAAAATTTTATCTATTTTTCTCATATTATTATTACTATTGAATTTTGTCTGTTTTTCCAAATCTATATATATGATCATAGATTTCTTTTTATCTTTTAACATCATAAAGCATATTTATGGGAAACCCAATTTGATTATGGAAAATTAATATGTTTATATTCTTTTAGATTCATATCATTTTGATTGTTTTTCTGAATCTATATATATGAACTTCCACTACACTGGTGAATTTATTAATTTCTCCTTGTAGTTCAAAACATTTTGTTTCATGTATTTTGATGTCATTTTATTAGATACATGCATGCTTACAATTGCTATGCCTTTTTTGGAAAATTTAACTCTATTATTCTAGAGTGACTGTCTCTATCCCTGATACTTTTTCTAATTTTGAAACCTATTTTCTTTGATAGTAATATAGCTACATAAGTTTTCCTAAGGCTATCATTTTCTGGGTATATCTTTTCTCTATCTTTAATTTTCAACCTTTTCCCATGTAGATGTGTTCGTGTAAGCTACAGAATAAAATAGTTGATTATTATTATTGATATATTTTTATTACTGATATATTTTCACCTGTTTTTCTCATCTTAATTTATTATTTAAAGACATCCCATATTTTAAAATGTTTCTCCTTAGTACTTTTTTTTTGTACTTTCATATCCTTTGGTTTGCTTATTATTCCACCCCAATCATACTGATATTATCTAAACTTTAATACTGAGTTATATAGTTATATATTTCATTTTATCTTTGACCATGGTTCCCCTCATCTTTTTCAGACGACAATCACTTTGCTAAGATATTTAATCATTTTTATTTCATATTTTTGAAGAATATCCTTTAATTCTCCTTTCATTTAGATACTTTATCCAAAACTGTCTTAAATGTCAGTCTTTTGTGGGTAAACATTCTTAAGTTTTTTATCCCTCTAAGAATATTTAAATCATGGCTTCATATGTGAATGACATTTAGGCTGGATATAAAATTCTATGTTTTTGTGTTTTTTTCTTTCAACATTTAAAAAATATGCTTCCTTCTTTCACCCAATTTTGTTATTGAAAAATCTTGTTTCTTTGGACATAATCTTCTCTTTTGCTCTTTAGGCTTTTAGATTTTTCTCCTTGTCATTGCATATTCTTACATTTCACCACAGTGTGTATAGGTTTTTCCTCCCTTCTTTGGCCCTTTGGTTTTTAAATCAAAATAAAATAGTGATAAATTAAGATGAAATGAAGACCTTAATTCTTTTACTTAATGTTAATTCTCAGCTGTATCTCCATTATTTCTTAAGATATTTTCTTTCTTCTAATTTTATTTTTCTCTCTCTCTGGGACTCCTAATATCTGTCTTCTAGTTCTAATAATCCTTCTTTACTGATTAGATTTTCTTTCATATGTTCTATTTCTTGGTCCATATCTTCATCCTCCTGAGCGATTTATTGGTTTTATAATTTACTAATTTCTTTTTCCTTTCTCATGTATTCATTATGCTATTTTTCCATTCTAATTTTCTTTTTATCAAGTATTATATTTTCATATTTCCTATATCTGCTTAATCACTTTGGCAATTCTTATGTCTACTTATAACATTGTATTATAAATTAGCACAAATGTCTTCCATTATTGCTTTTAGAATGTACATTAGGTTACATTAAGAAATTTGGTTTCATTTGATCTTTTATTTTTATATTTTTATTTCTACTTTTGATGTCATTCCTAATATGTCCTGTTGTTTTACTTTTAAAATAATCACTTTGCCCAAATTTTTTGATATTTTGACCTGTGAGCTTGTTTTCTTCCAGGAATATTGGCTATTGTGAAAAGCAGTATATGTGTGAGAAGGTTAGATCCCAGTCTATTTCAGTCTCTATGATCTCAGTAGTGAGGAAATGAATAAAATCTAGAGTGGAGAATTTTAGACATCAGGAACCATTGTCAGTCCTTCCTTACCTCAAAGCAACTTCTGAGATCAGGAGTTCATGTTTTTTACCAGAAAGAAGTATTGTTTTGAGATGTGTGTTCTACCTTATTGAAAAGATTTTATAATAAATTAGTATATGTCTTTAAAATTTGTAAGTTTGTTGTTAGTACTAATAGGTTCCCTTAGTGTCATGTCAGAGGTTTTGTTTTACTGAAAAAGTGATCATTTTTTTTTACCAGAATAATGAATATTTCTTCAAAAAACATCTCTCCTGGTGCCTACTAATCCACAAATAAATTTAACACTTAGACTTTATTACCTAAGTAACTTATACCTTTGAGAAAAGTAAATATAATTTGTTTTGTAAGCCCTTTCAGATGTGTATGTAATCTTTGAATTTTCACTAACACTGTACTCATATATTTTAATGGAGAAAAGACACTTTAGATTACATGAAGTGTATTACCTACTTTGAAATTGAAACCAGTTGTCTAATGATATTCAAAAAGTGATTAGCCATTACATGAAATAGAGTAGTACCTACAGCATAAAATTAAATAGGATATTAATCATTGTGCTTTAGGGCATAAATTAGACAATAACCAAGGAGAAGATGTAATATACCTACAGTTAAATGGGATTAGATTCATTATCAGAATTTCAGCTCCTTTCTAAGGAAAAAAATGCAATGAATATGGTCTGACCAGGTAATATGGACCTAGTGAAATGCTATAGATAGGAAGTTATCACTTTATTGTTGTAACGTATATGTGATATAGCTCCTTTTCTTAAACATTTCTGCAATTTGCCACTGCTGCACTGAAATGCATCTGAATCCAAGCTCTTCAGAGAGAAGTGCCCTTCGTCCCTAGTACCTTTCTCCTTCCTTCCCCCTCGCTTTCTGTCTTTTGTTTAGCACGTGCATTATGTCTATTAGAGGCACAGTGGAAAGTACAATTCAGGTTGGTGGAGCCTTAGATTATAACCAATAGGGTTTTTAAAAAAAAGAGCTTGGAAACTTTTTACTTTTACAAATATTACTAAATGACTCACACATTAGGGAAATATCTACATTTAGGATCTCTCCCTTATTTTATTATTCTGATACTAACACTCATCATCCATCCAGTTTGATCTAATTTGTCTTAATTTTTTAGATGAGAAAATAAATACCTGACTTGAGTAGCTCGCTTCCAAATTCTGTAAAGTAAAAAAAACATTTAAAACAAAGGGTTTACTAGAAATAAAAATAAGGAGTCCAGATAGAGTAAATAATTAAAAGAAGCAACATATGAAAATACACATCAGAATAGCATATGCATTCTATATGATCTTTATTGATATCCACATACACTTGTATATTGGCCTGATTTCCATTGTGTTTTCAAAGCTTTGTTCCCTCAGAAATATCCAATATTTATTACATATGGCTTAATTGATTATATGCCAGAAATTAATTTTAGTCTTAATATGTCCTTTCTTCACATTTATTTCCAGTTGATTTTTTAAGTATCAAAAAAGTTCCCTCAGTTTGAGTCAGAGTTTTGCAAAAAGTTGGAATAAGGACTTAAAGTCTCTGTAGTAATTTGGGCATAGGTTTGTGTAATTACTTATATTTTTCTAGTACTTAAGAAAAGAAGTTACTACTTATTTAGCTCTTGGTTTATTGCCAAGAAATGAAATAAAGATGCTTAGAATGGAAATATCTTAAATGTTCAAATCCTACATTTTAAATGTGGCTTGTTCTAGAATAAATATTACTATTACTTCAATTATGAATATTATTTAAATTTAATTTTCTTGGGAGATCAAATCAATAAACACATTTTAAATAATAAATTGGTACAATTTTGAATTGTGTATAAAGTACTTCAGCTTTTCTGAAAACTTCTCAAGCAGAATTGCAGTGTTGCTATAATTAGATTTACCCTATATTCACTAGAGGCAAAAGTAGTTTAAGACTACTTTTGGTTACCAGCTGGGATATTTATAATAATCTAGAACATTAAATGTACATTGAGAAAAGTATGCCTTCAAGGAAGGAAAGAAAGTTTCTCACTTAATTAACAGTGTAAACCACCTCTTGACTGTGAGTTGCTAGTAGCACAGTTGGTACTAAGAAATCTTCCAAAATGTTCACCCATCATACCTCATTTATGATATGCAATGAACTTTCCTGCTTTGCAAATACATATATTGATTTTTGTTCAAATGACATTTTTAACCTTTTAAAATTTATAACCAGGTAATGTGCTAGATCAAACCCCTATAACTGTAAAAATTAACCAGATTTTTTCTTTGTAATGAGTTAATTTCTCTTTTTGCTTAAATACAAAAAAAACCATTTTAATATATTCACAAGCATCCCGTATGATTTTAAAAAGTCAATGCATACTCACCCTTGTTTAAAATTAAAATGCTATATATACTACAAGTTATTATTACTGAAGTGGTAAATTTAAAATATACAACTAATGTATCAATGTCCACAAAAGGTTTGATTGATTCTTCCTTTTTCCTCAAAAGTTATCCGGAAGTATTCTGAATGTGTATGGTGGTGAGCAGGGAATTTCACCAGTTAATATGGGCCTTACAAGTGCTTCCTGTCCAAGTAGCCTACCAATGAAAAGAGAAATTACAGGTAATGTTGCTTTCATAATTTTATCCTTTTGTTTCTATCAACTACATAAGTTATGAGCAATACATATTAATAAGGTAAATAGAATTTTAAAAATATTATCCGAATAGTTAAAATGTGAGACATTTAGAGAGTGAATCCTTTTTTTTTTCCTATGACACCTAAACAGTAAGTTAATGTAACTTACAGTTCACCTGAATTGATTTATTATTTTGGGAACTAAGAAAATATACACAGATGCTCTACCCATATATATATATGACAACTCAGCTAAGTTCCTCATTTTGATATTGAAAAAATATAATTATTAACATGGTCACAAAATAACCAATTAGGGAAATCTAGTATTTTTTGTATGTAGAATTTGATGTAAGACAACTAATTATATTTTCCCATTTTTAGCTTGCTTTATGAATTTTGTGATAGACACATTTAACTTTCTCAAGGGTATAAACACTCCTCAATTTTCACTAGTACATTTCAGAGCAGTTACAATTCAAAGGAATTATAGGGACACTGTCAAGTTCCTCCAGTATATAGATGAGGAAATGAAGTGTCTGAGGAGTAATTTTCCCAAAGTCATACAGCTGAGTAGAGGCAGAAGTAGATGAAAATAAGGATTTCCTGACTTATAAGTTCAGTGGTCCTCTTTAAGAACAAAATTAAATTCTGTTGACATTTCTGCAACATTGGTCTTTAGCAATTTTTACACAGTTAATATTAACATTTTTAGTACATGCAATTTATCCAACCTTGGAGTCTAATCAATAACTAAAAACTGTCTATGCATTCAAAATATTTAAACTGCAAGTAATGAATACAGTTTTAAATAAACAAATATATTCCTATATTACTTTAAAAACTAGAATAATTCAAGCAACACTACAGTATCTATTGCTGTGTTAAAAAGAAACAAAAAAACTTAACAACCTGAAGTGATAAACATTTGTTATATTTATTATCTCATACAATCTCTGTGGGGAAAAAATGTAGGGGTGTCTTAGAAAATGGGTTCTGGCTTAGAGTTTCTCATTAGGTTGCATCAAGATATTGGCCAGATATACAGACATTGGACACCTGAAGGACAGGAGGATGCACTCCCAAGCAGGAGGATGGCATATGTAGGTCCTGCAGGGTCGTGCTGCTAGCTGGCAAGCAGCCATGGTTCTTTACACGTGGACCTCTCCAAAGAGCTGACAGCTGCTGTTGTCACCAAGAGACACCAAAGAGCAACTGTATTATCTTTTATGACCTAGTCTTGGAAGCCACACTAGTCATTTCCACAATATTGTATAGTTTTCACAGGTCATCCCTATTCAATGTGGGCATAACTACCAAGGGTGTGAGTATCACGAGTGAGAATCATTGTGGGCTGTGCTGGAGGCTGACAGGCACAAATGCTCACAACCATGTGGCACACAGAGGGTCATTTACAGGAAGTCTGGAGTTGCTTGATAGGAATATCTGAGAAATGTAATTAGTTCCAACTCCTGGATTGTAGAAATCATAATTATTTATGAAACATGTAGGTCATTAAAGTTTAGATTGGAATAATTTTGAATAATCTTAAAATTCTGAAAATTATAATGATAATTGAAAGTTTAATATTTGCTGTGCACTGTACTTCTTGTAACCATCACAGTGATTATTAGGTAGATATTATATTAATTATACCAATTTTACAGATGAGGAGGCTGAGGCACAGAAAATAGTAGATCACGAGGTTATTAAATGGAGAGCCAGAGTACAAATCCAAGCTTTACCTATCAAAGCCTAAAGGGTTTGCCATTGCCTTTTACTAAAAGAATACTCTGCTCCAGATTTCTAAATATTTGCATAAAATATTATTTGTACCTTCATCTAGTATTTCTAAGTTATGTTGAATGCAGGTGCTGTAAAGTAGAACTAAGTACTGTTTCAATTATCTTCCTTTTGATCAGAAACTGATACTCGAGCTTTGGCAAAAGAAAGACAAAAAAAAGACAACCACAACCTCAGTGAGTATATTTTCCTTTTTTCCAAATAAATTTAACTAATGCAAAAGGAAATATATGGAGCTTAAATTGTGTGTTTTTTTATTGTCCCTCCGTAAGTATTTTGAGGTCAGATGACCGAAATGAATAGTACATGCTCACTAGTTGAGCTATCTTAGGAAATTTAAACATTAACCTTCAGAAATGTGATACATTTTTACAAAGTAAAACATCTCAAATTCTCTCCTTAATGACACATACTCTTTCTCTCAAGAAGACTACATGTGACAGAACTGAGTGGGTTGAGTTACATTTAAACTCTGTTGTGACTCATTGCCTCAGAGGTTTAAAAAGATCAAAGTGACTTTAGGAAATACCATATAAGTAGCACTAAACGTATTTCCAGGTCTTGTCTTTCTGTGCAATCTGCTCCTCCCTTGCTAATGATAAGTTATCTGAAAGATATTGCTTGTATTATCCTGTTGGATTCCACTTCTGCAAAAGTATGTCTCTGATGCCTTCGGGGGTCAGCTTCACTCTGATAATGGGTCACACGTGATGGAGAATCAGCTGAGCCGTAATGTTGTTTGGTGGTGTTTGGTCATGTCTCAAGTGCTTAACTGTCTCCAGTGAGCTTGACTGATTGAGTGTGAAGCCTTTCATTTCCAGCAGCCAAATCAAAAAATGAGACAAGAATAAAATAAAATAAGAACTTTAAAGCTCTAATACAAACCAGGAATTTCCATATATGTGATTAACTGAAAGTGATTCTACACATACCTGTGCAAACTGCATTTGTCTGTTCAGAGTATACCTGCCTAGTCACAGGGTGCTCAGTTTGTGGACCATGTGACCTTGAGGAAAGAGCTGACACGTGGTTGTGACAGTCCTCAGGGTAGTCGTGGAGAGGGAAATGATCTGATTCCAAAGCCCTTAGTGGTAGAGCAGATAAGCTTGGGTCCAGCTTATAGGACAGAGTTTGAGTAGGAAGAACTAATTGTTGATAGAATTAAACCTTCAAAGAACTATGGTCTCCTCTCTTAGTTTTAATCCTGCTGTCACTCTCCTTGCTCCTTCTCTCTGCATCTGCAGTTTAAACAACAGGTCATTTAATGTAAAATATGACAGGTGCCTGGTATGTCCATTATCAAAGTCCCCTTACTGAGGGATCCCCTTACTGAGTGATCTTGCTCTTTGGAGATATCAATGTTGAAAAATTGATATCATATATTAAATATAATGATCTAGGACAACCCCTAAAATTTATGAGAACCATGGCAAGAGGACAAATGAAGACCCACTTAACCAGGTGTCTGACTCTTTAAATTGTACTGTTTAATTTAGCCTTTCTAGCATGAGTTCTATTTGAACCATTAAGTATGCTCTATCCTTCCTAAAGGCTGAAAGGCAAAGTGTGAACCTAGAATTCTCAGTTCCTCAGTTCAGTGGGAATGTCAGGGTGGGGCAATGCTAGCCCTCAGCCAGCAGCCCATCTCATTTCTCTCCCCACCCCCAGTTCCCATGGGTGCTGCCAGTGACCTCAGACATGAGTGTGAGCACCTCATCCTATACATTTGAGCTCTGTATGCAGCTCTGTAAACATCTATCCATTGCCCACTTCTTGGGCCTGTGGGTGAGCACACTGGTGTCATGGCCCCCCTCAGGAGGATGCGTCTGGGAAGTGGCCTGCACAGTGTCTTAAAGTGGGCTCAGGAAATTTGGGAGAACATTCTTGGTGCAAATTGCCCAGAGTATAGTTTAAAAGGGGTCCCCGTGGGTCTATGGCTGCCTTGTTCAGTGGGGAGAAAGCAAAAGCAGCTCCTCTAAAGTAAGGGGTCCAGGACAGGGGCCTCCTTGCCTAGGATCTGAGGACAGAAATAAATGAACATATAAAAAACTTCATGAAGAGTGAAACTGTACATGGAATGAAATAACTTAGAAATTTCTTAAAACTTGACTTCTTTATGAATCACTTGTACTAGATATGAGAACATTGAGGAACCAAAGTCCTCATTATAGTTAGCCATTAAAAAATTTATCAAGCACAATCTGAGTAGAGTAGGAACTTCTGATATTTTACATAAGGTTCATTTAAATAATAGATTTTGGAGGAATATTATAGGACTAAATCAGCCCCCTATTTTGAGATAAAACTGAACATCCTTCATAGCTGTTCTTCATCTTGTATTTAAAAGTCTGTTTTATAATAGAGGAATGAGTATGTCTGAACACAGAATGATTAATAAATTCTCACTGTGAAATATATATGTATTTCTATCAGCTTTACCTTTGTTTATTTTCTTTTCAGTTTTTTTAAATGTAGTATCACTGTCTTTTTAATCACATACACAGGGGAAAAATAAGATTGATAAAGAGGGAAAATAAACTCACTCAGGAATCAATTATATTCAAATTTTAGAGGAATGTCAATGTATTATTCCTGAAGGTCAAATCCATTTGTGGTAAATTGCTTTGAGAGGTTCCCCAAGACAAGTGATATTCTTTCATGACTTATTTTCAGTAGCAGATCTTGACTTTCAAGCATGAATTATTTAGGTATTTTTCCAAATTTTTTTATATGTGATCAGCTTCTTCAAGACTTTTTTTCTTCCTTGATTTCTCTGGAAAGCTTTAAAAATGCTATATATTGAAAAGAAAGTATTATTATATGATGTGGTTCTTGATACAAGGAAAATGGACTATACTCTGCAAGACTGCTCTTAGATAAGGGTCAATACAGGAAACTCTGCTTACTTGTGTATCTGACATTTTTGAACATTTGCTAGATGCACAGAATTTCCATGAACAATGAGTGCATGTTGATGCAAGCAGAAGCCCCTGAATGAGAACCTGTAGTGGCAGTTCTCAAAGTGTGGGCTCTAGACAAAGTATCAGCATCACCAGGGAACTTGTTAGAAATGCAAATTCTTGGGTCCCAAATCAGACCTACTAAAATCAGAATCTTTAGGTATGGGGCATAAATCCATCTTAACAATCCCTGTAGGTATGTCTGATGCACACCACAATTTGAAAAACACTGCTCTGTATGTTATTGAACATTTTTAAATTAGAAAGAAATATTTACGGTCTAATCAACATATATTTATTTAGCACCTCCTATATGCCAAACCCTCTGGGGATACAAAAATGAGGAAGAAATGGTCCCTGCCCCCAAGGCACACACACCTACTATGTACCAAATTTTGTGTAGGCTTCCAGGAGAGTATATGAGAAGAGTAAAGCATGGTGCTGACCTCAGAAGATTGTAATACTGATGGACTGACAAAATGCATATGTGTGAAATAATGATCAAATAGGATAAATATATATATATTATATATTTCAGTATAAGTATAACATTTCAAAGAATAAAAAAAAGTGTTTTTGAGAAAGAATGTTTTTAAAATGTTATGAATAATAGAATGATAATTTTAATGTTATTATTGCTTTTAGAATAAAATGTACTAGAACTTTTCATTTATTTTCAAAACACACTGTTTTAACTAAACAGAAGTTTTTTTGCTCATTGTCTTTTAAAGATCATTAAGAAAGTTTACAGCTGACCAAAAGTGAATTGTGCTTTAATGAGAATAATCAATAATATTTCATTTTTAATAGTTGAAAGAAGAAGAAGGTATAATATTAATTACCGAATCAAGGAGCTTGGCACTCTTATTCCCAAGTCTAATGATCCGTGAGTTCAACAGTCATTTCTATAATAATGTTATGGTTTCTGTACCCCCAAAAATGCATGAGAGGGAAGAGGGAGAGGGGAGAACAAATGACTAGGAAACTAAGCAGTCATGGTAAAGATAAGGCTACTGCTGGTCTCATATTTAAATATCTATTCAAGACTGATAGTTATGAAGCATCACTGTTGTTTCTAACACTTGCCTTTTTGAGCTATAGGAAGTAAGTCTTTCTTCTCAGTTCATAGAACTCTTTTTCAATATTGGCAGATTTAGTGGTAGTATCAAGTGTTGTCTATGACACTGGGATACTCAATTTGTGGTTATAGAAATTCTTCCAGTGTAAGATTTTATGTGTACATGAAAATTGAATTGTTGGATTTTCAGAGGCTCCAAAATTCTGGAGACATGTAAGTAAAAAATGAAATTGTAAAAACATGCTAATTGAGGCCAACCAATAATTGGTTATAATAATTAAATTTGCAGCCAGATTTCAGGGTCATGGACATGAAGCCAATTAAACAAGATGAGTGAGGTTGTAAATTTCAAGGAGTAGTTGATTCATCAAAGTATCAAGTTAGAATGCTGCATGTTTCTCCAAAAACATGAACTCATGATCTCTAGCATTAATAATGACTTTAAAAATGTTTCATTCAAACTGAGAACTGGCTTCTCCAAGTACTGGCAATTATCCATTATTCAGAAACAATAATGTTTCATAAAGTATTATTTATGAAATTTAGAAATACTCTTTCCTTAAATCCACATGTGCCAATTCACTCGATCAATAATTTTTAGTAGAACAGATTGTAATATTTATCCTCATAGGGTGTATTAAGTAGAAAAGGTATCTGGAGTAGAATGGAAGAAAGAACACTGGTCAGAGAGTCTGAGAAGCTGTCTTACTGGAGGCTCTGCCAATTACTTCAAATCCTTTAAAGTCTCTCAGCACTCAACTGTCTATTAGCAGAAGAAGAGAATACCCATTTTTCTGGTAGGACTTTCTTTTTAAGACTTAAAATATAAATCGCACTTACTCAACAAACATTTGATGTAAGGCCAAGCCTCTTTGTTTGCGTATGTTTTCAATTTTTCTTTGTATATATATATATATATAAACTATACACACACAAAAATACATAAAAACACAAACAATGACTCTATTTCAATTTCTTTAAAATAAAACAAACACTTAGACAACCTAAGTATGGAGAGATTTTTTAAATGTTTACACCAAATTTTTACAATATAATTGTATCAACTTACCTTTATTAATATTTTCAATTTTTCCAAAACTTTTAATATAATTTTCTTAAAAACAGTAATTTTCTATAAATGCCTTCTTTTTTTTGCATTCATATATAATTAGTTAATGTACTTATAATTTAATTATATTATCATTATAACAATGGACATTAATTTTATCACCTCTCAATAAGTACATGTTACCACAAGGGTATCAGAAGTACCTAGGTGTATCAGAAGGTAGCCTCTGACCTCTATTGCCTACTTTGTTATGTCACAGTGGATGTCACAAAGGGAATTAATTAATCCTGAAAGTGATTAGGTAAAATTCAGTTAAAAGAGCTTCTCTTGTAACTGATAGAACTAACCCACAATCCCAGGGCACGGTTATAAGCAGATAAATGAGCCTATAAGATTGGGTTTTTAGGGAGCCAACATGGCGGCATGAGTAGGACAGTGGGAATCTCCTCCCAAAAACATATATATTTTTGAAAATACAACAAATACAACTAATCCTAAAAGAGAGACCAGAAGACACAGGACAACAGCCAGACTACATCCACACGTGCGAGAGCCCAGCGCCTGGTGAAAGGGGTAAGATATAAGCCCCGGCCCAGCAGGACCTGAGCACACCTCCCCCCAGCTCGTGGCGGGAGGGAGAGGGAGCCCAGGACTGCTAAACACCCAGCCC